ATCTTTGCGATTTTGCAACTTCAAGGAGGAGCGCTACGGAGAAGACCGAGTTGACGATCTCAACCGACTGGAAGAAGCCCGTGGGGCAGCCTTAATTCAGTCGGCTCGGTATTTACAAGGGTTGCGACGTTGTCACAACCGCAATGTTTGATCGCGGGTTTTCTTAGTCGGAGACCAGGTTTTGAGGAAAATTCAAACTACACGAGATCGGCACAAGTTATCTCCATTATGGGAGGGACCGTTCATAATTTCTAAAGTTACTCGGCCAGGTTCTTATCGACTCAAGCGTGAAGACGGTACTCATGTCGACAACTCTTGGAATATTGAGCATCTTCATCGTTTTTATGCTTAGGCATTACTTTTGTATCTTCTTTCCCTCTTTGATTGCTAACATCAAGTTGCTCCTTGAGTTATCAGTCAGGGGCTACTATAATAATAATGGAGTGTGATTCTTATCAATTCAATTTGCTTCCCGTCTGCAAAGCCGTCGACAGCGTCAATATCGATCTTCGGGTACAAGGACTTGGTCATTGCCAATGCCATGCTCGCCCCCATGCATCCAGCTTCTTTGATGTTCTTAAAGTATGTATCCGAAGCAGCTCTCAGCTTGTCGAAGTTTCAATAGCGTCGAACGAACTCAGACCATTATTATTAAAAAAACATGGCTTGGATGAGTGGTGTAGCGGCGTTGGCAACTTCATCCCTGGCTCCTTCAAGCTTCTTAATTTTGTTGACCAAGATGTCGAATTGAGCCTGAGATTTAATTTTGCAATATGCATAAATGGTTCACATCAATGACTGGGCACGAAGACAAGAATGGTTCTGGAGTTTTAACTACAAATACCTTCGATGTCTTTCAGAGCCGAGTCCCTCTGTTTGGTCAATTCACCCTTGTCTTTTTCCAGAGCTTTGATTCGCTTTTCTAGCTCGGTGATCTTGGCAACTTGCACTATAATATTTTCCATTGATTAATTACATACGGATAGCAGCTTGGAATAAGTCAAACAGGAAAAAATGTTACCTTTGGATGAACCACTCAGCTCGAAATTGGAATCTTGGAGCTTGGCGATTCGGTCCCTAAGATCATGTTCAGTTTTCCTGGCAAGCTCCCTGGTTTCATGGAGTTGGGCTCTTGTCTCTTCCAGGGTTCCATGGTGAGGAACCAGTTTCTCGAGGGTTGCAGTTTTTGCTTCATTCCTAAGATGAATTCTGTGCATTGCAAATTCATCTCTATTCAGTGAAGTGGCCAACAGGATGAGTAAAGCTATGTGCAAAAAACATACATTTACGAGACGAGTGGCCTAATTGAGCGTCTTTGCAAGCAAAGACACTTCCTCGTCTTCTTTCTACTTATTTATTATAATCCCTTGTGGCTGCATTTCATCATCCCACCATTTAACTAAGATGGGTTGGCGAGAATCTTCAGCTGACTAAATCCGAAGAACTTCTTCGTCACCGATCATTGGGCCTTTACGTATTCACAGATGATGATGATAAAACAATCGAAGAGAATTTGTCAAATCAAAATGAATTTGGAAGAGCTGATTACCTGTTATGATCTTTGGTTGAGGACGAGAAGGCCCTTGCACCTTATCGGATGAACTGGACTTCGGGTCGGTGTTGGTATCTTTTTAGGGAAGGCTGCTTGCTCGAGCCTCTGTTTCCGGGATGTCCTCATTTTGTTCTGTACCCGACTGGTTTCCAGTCGGGGGCACCTGATCAGCACTGGCTTCAGCTTCGGCCGACTGGTTTCCAGTCAGGGGCTCATTGCTGGCCTCTATATTATCGGTCGCTGGTTGACTACTAGTCAGGCGATTTTCGGCGGTCGGCCCGGTTTCTGTGGAGGTCGTAGGACCAGTCTCCATGCTAGTCGGTTTAGTCTTTCCTAGAAGGATCGATGTCAGATGGCTTCCTGCAGATTTGAGATATGCTATTAACACTACTTCGATGGTGTATGTTTGGCGATACAGGGGAAATTGCTTAATGACTTGTACCTGGATGACTTCCTGATTTTTGGTATTGGACGACTGGATGTTTTCTTCTTCGGGTTAGCTTGCCTTGGCTGTTTTCCAGTCACCTCTTTGTTGCCAGCTTTTTCAACATTGTCACCCTCGTCGTCACTCAGAATTAATTTCCTTTTGCGAGAGTCCGACTGGTTAGTTGGCTTTGAGATGCTTGGCTGAGCATCAGACCGGATTTTCGGCCCTCCACTGGCCTGACCAGCCTGCCGGCGGGGTGAGCGGCGTTGAGCGATTGGAGGATCAGATTTCATTAAAGAAAATTCCTATGCATGATATTTCAAGTTTTCAGCCAACCTTACAAAAGACAAAAGGATGTCATAAGAAAGGCCGAGATGTCTGATACATACCGGTGGAGGAGGGTTGAAAGCATTATATGGCACCACTGGCAGCAGGTGTGAACAGCTAACCGCGATAGCGTTTGAGAAGATTTTGTACATTCTCTCCTTCATGATTTTAAACTCAAGAGATTCTGGATCTTCACGGTTGGGGTCATTCTTGCCATCAAACTCAAAGGCAGTGCGAGATCTCTCTTTGATAGGTGCCAGCCGGCTCTTGATGAAATGCCGGGTGATTTGTTCCCCTTGCAGACCCTGCTCTTTAAGTTTCAACATGCGTTCCATCAAAGAAAGTGCTTGGGCAGCCTCATCTCCCATTGGAAGCGAGTTCCGGGTGTCTTGATATGTTGGAGGAAGGCAGGAGTACTCGGGGAGTGCTAGCTCAGGATTTTGCACATAAAACCAGTTTGCATGCCAGCCCTTGTTTGAGGTTTTGAAGGGCATGGAGAAGTATTTCTGGCTTAAGGTTCCCCTTAACTGAAAACCGGTCCCCCTACCAACGACGCACGGCTTGTTCTTGTTTGGCTGGGGCTTCAGGAAGAAGATGCGGCGGAATAAGGCAAAATGTGGCCTAATCCCTAGAAAAGCTTCGCAGACATGGATGAAATTGGCAATGTGAACTATGGAATTGGGGTTTAGGTGATGCAAGCTAATTCCGTAAAACTCCACAATCCCCCTAAAGAACTTTGAGGTTGGGAGAGGAAAACCACCATATAAGAAGTGAGAAAATACCACGACCTCGTGTGTGTCAGGGGTCAGAAATGCTTCGCCGCATGCCGGACGCCACCCGATGATCTCCTTTGCCGGAAGAACGCCATGTGCTACCATCTCCTTCAAGTTCTCATCCGTTACATCGGAGGGAGCCCATTGACTTTCGAAGCTTTCTCTCTCCTCGGCCATGGGAGCGAGATGGATGATTAGATTTGGAGCGAGGGCGGCAGCGAATGAAGAGGATATTGGTGCGATGGATGTACGGAAGATCTATGCAAGAGAACGGAGCTTCGAGAGGGGTGGAATGGTGCGGATTTGCGAACCCTAGTTTCCGCCGGCGCAGTATTTGCATTGTAGCGGGAAGTGGGGAAAATGGAGAGGATCGCGGCGGGGAAGACGAAACGGCGCTCTATTTTAGCGTTTATTTCACTAAGGTATCGGGAGATGCTTATGGGCCTGGGCCTAAACAATACTTTCAGCCCAATTTTATTATCAGCGTGGCTGGTTGTGATCCTTAGGGACTTAGGTATATATTTTTGCTTTGGCAAAAGTTGCTCACGACAGAATAGCCCAATGCTGCTAAAATCCTTTTTGACGTAGTTAGATAATTCTTTGGAATTACTACAATGCAAATAAAAGGGTGCCCAACAGAAAAGTGTTATACTAATTTTGTTGGCCTTTTTAGGCTACAAAGCTGTTCGGGCCTTATTGAGATGACTAATTTTAAATGGTCATTCTCTCAGCATGTTATATGCTTACCTTAATAATGGCGTGGGTCATAGCTTAGGCTATTTAGACTCATCATTTATCATGCTTTATACCACATTTGATGAGTCTTTTTGAGAGTTTTTACTCGGATTTTTATCATGTATGTTGGTTTATAGACCTTTAGAGTGTTTCTCACTCGGGCCTTTTCTATACCTCATTTTTGGCGCATTAAAGCTAAAGCAGTCGGCTGGATGTTTTATCAGATGCCACACATGCTTAGCCATATAATCCCTTGGGTGATTCGGTTGTAAAACCACTCGGATGGATGTTTTGATGCACTTTGACTATATGTTTAGTTTTTATTTAACTAATCACATAGTCGGGGGCTACACCTAATTAGATGCATCTACTCAGAAGACTAAGACAGAGGAAGTTGAAGCACTCGGATTATCATTTGAATTACGAGAGAAGACTATTTCATCGACTGTAAAGGTGTCAGGGGCTACTGTGGAGATTATGGATACCCCATACCCATACGACATGTATATCCGATTAGGTATGGGGTGCCATGTATAGATAGAATATCTTCAAAGGGAATCGGGTTAAATTCCAAACTTCTATGTCAAGGAAATACCCGGGATCCTAGTCGGTTACGATTGTATCTTATCTGTAACTACCTATTCCGTTAGGGATATGGGTTGTACTTTGTAATACGGACCCCTTTCCCTATATAAGGAGGTGTCCGGGTGTCTTTTGGGGCACGATTTTTCTCTCAGATCATACAATCAATAAAACACTCGGCGGATCAATCCTCGAACAGAAGTAGGGTATTACTTCTTATTAAGAAGGCCTGAACCTGTATAAAATTTCTTGTCTCTAAACCCATCCACTTTTCCAGCTTGATAGCCACCCCTTTTTAGTATTGCCAAAATCTTGTTTCGACAAGAAGGGTGGTGACATTTTTTTCATTTCTTTTTCTTTCTTTTACCGTGAATTGGGAGAATGGGAGGGGTATATTTTGGACTGAGGGCAATCTGGTCATTTTTTGAAAAAAAATGGTTGTAGCGGTGTGGAATCAACGGTAAGTTGACGGTGATGGCATTTTTGGGAGAAAAAGGCTTGTACGATGGTATTTTCAGAAAGTTGCTCTTGTCGATGGTATTTCTGGGATTAGTGTACTCGCCGATGGTATTTCAAGGATTTTCTGATATCTTGGATACTCTAGGATGAGGTGCTGATTGTTGGATTCGGTTGGAAAGGGCATGCCTTGGGAGATATTCCAGGTGTCAGGTTGAAGGTTGTGAAGGTGTCTGCAGTGTCACTGCTCGCACTCTTCAAGGAGAAGAAGAAGCAGAGGTCTTAGATTACTTTTGATAGGCAAAAGGTTGGACTAGACTGTCAAGGCTCTGAATGTTTTGAGTAGGAAAGATCCTAGCTATGTTGGGAATCCCCGTGGTAACTCAAGCTTTATAATCGAGAATTGTTCCTTCTCAGCTGTTGCTTTGGTTAACAGTACTATTAAGAGTTTTGTTCCCTTAATCTGGATATATATTAATATTGCGCTCGCTCCTCCCTTGTGTTTGCTAGTTTTCTCCGTCTTTATATGTTGATTATATCATTGATTGTGGTTTTTTAGGCAATTGCACATTTGACTCTATTTTAAAGCGTAACTACCAATTTAACCCTACTTTTTAAGTTTACTCATTTGACCCTATTTTCTAAAAGGGAACATCAGATGTGACCCTATTTCGTGAAGCCAAGCAAACGGTGTTAATAAAAGGAAAAAGAGACGTTTATACCCTTCTCATTTGACCTAGTTTCTATCTACCCAGACTTCACACGCCGGCGAGCTCCCATGCCGCACAGGGCACCGCTCCCTTCCTCCGCGCGCATGCTGTCACTGCCCGCCATCCACGCGCTGGCCTCCGCCTCCCTCCGCCCACGCCCCTCTGCCGTCAGTCGTTCTCGCCACACAGGGCGTCTCTCCCTTCCTCCGCACGCACGCCGTCACCACTAGCCGTCCACGTGCCGGCGTCCGCCTCCCTCCGTGCTTGTGCCGCTCCCTCCCTCCGCGCGCGCGCTATCACCGCCTGCCCTCCACATGCTGGGCTCCATCTCCCTTCATGCGTACGCCGCCGCCACCCGACCTCCAGCCTCTGCATGCCGGCGAGCTCCGGTGCTGCACGCCATAGTTGCCAAGATTTGGGTTGGGACTGGATAAGGATGGGGGCTTGGGGATATGGTTGAGTGTAATAAGGGTATTTTGGTTATTTGGGGTGGTAAAAATATTTTTTTCTCTGTTTTCTATATGAAACCCTAACGGTAGAGTTAAAACAGGGTCAAACGGAAAATACGATTTGAGAAAACAGGGTCAACTAAGCAAACTTGAAAATATATGGTTAGTTTGGTAGTTATTATGCTTAAAAAGAGCGTCAAATGAGCAATTATCCCTTTTTTATGCTCGATTATCATTGTGATAAAGTTATTTTTGCTCATGTCCAATTTACATTAGTTAACTATCTTTGATGCCAGTTTACACTTAGAGACATGTTAGATTGTGGAGTTCTTCCTGGATTTTTGTCAACACATACATTCGAGAAAAAAAATCAAATGTTTCATCCATCTTAATCCAGTAGGTAAGGGATAGAACATGATGGAACGATCAAAGAACACAAAAAGAAAAAAGTAAAAGGAAAAAAGAACCTACTAATTACAATGCTTTGTTTGTGACTAAATATACCGTAAACAAATCAGGAAAACTGCATATCTTCTATCACTTGACAACCACATACCAAAAGAACAAAAATGCTCAAGAAGTAGCAAAGGAACATTTTCTTCAATAGAGCAGAATAAGAATTGTGTCCATTTTTCCATTTTAATTTATTTGCCTGGTGTGATTTTGCATAATGTGACAACTGAGACAAGAACTCTTCAACAAAAAAGACATTTGAAGCATAATTGCCATGACACATACATTCATTGAAAAGCAATCCTTTTTCTACAAGTCACACTGCTCGTTTAAGGCGCGGAGAAATTTCTTTGATTGCTTTTGATTGCTCATCCCGCCACTTCGAGCAAAGTCCACAAAACCGTGCTCATCAACACACTTGTCATATAAGGATTCCGTCATTATGTCTATGACACCCTGTCATGTAAAATTTTTTTTGCTAGCATGAAGTTTTAAAAATTATTAAAGACAAATAGAATTGTACCATAGGGTTTAGCACAACCATATTACTAGTATATTATAGTATAAGTAGTTTTGATTTTTTTTCCTGAGTTAAATTTTGTTAGGTTTGATCAAGTTCATAAAGAATATCAAGTTCAACCCAAAATAAAAAAGAAACCAAAATATATTCAATGTTAAATATAATGAGACTAATTTGGTGCTATAAGTGTTGCTTTATTTTTATATAAAGTTGATCAAGCTTTCAACAAAAAATTAATAACTTTAAAAAAGTCAAAACGACATATAATTTATATTACCTCTATCCCTAAATTTATGACGTTGGTGAGTTCATCATATTACTACAGCATAACACCTTAAAGGTGCTGGTTGCAAACCTGGCATACGTGTTGGTTTCATAGCCAAGACCAATTATCCGGCACCAATGACACTAGGTCATTGGTACCGGTTCCTTTGTGCTCTTTCCGATTCAAAAAAGAAAAAAAAATGAAAAGAGAAGCTAGCTCCAAGCATCGGCTCGGCTCGATGAGTCGATTCTTTCAAGCTGCCCCTAATCCCATCCATTACATATCAACTACAAAAATCCTCATCCCATCCTTCACATATCACATATCAACAACAACAATTATCACAGATTACAGATCAACAACAACACAAGATCAAGAACTACACAAGCAAGATGAACTTACTCTCCCCGGTCCCGCCATCGTTGGCAATATGTGTCGCCATCGGAGGAGCGGTGTGGAGGTAGCTGTTGCCGGTTGCCAAGGTCTCTCTCCTTGCCGAGGTCGCCGGCGATTGCCCTCTGCATGCCAATGCCATCGCCGCCAGACCTGGTGGCACAATGGGCGGCGGCGCCGGATGTAGCGATTGGCAGTGGCAATGGATGTGGTGCTAGAGGCGACAGAGCAGTGGCGCAGAGGGAAGAGAGGACGTTGCAGAGGGAGGAGAGGACAAGTGCGAGACAGAAAGAGAGAGAGAGAGAGCACAAGCGGATCGGATATGAATGGAGTGGATGCATGATGACTTTGGTGGGAGTTAATTGGTGGCTCGGTTCGGCTCAATTTTTTTCAACTGCCGGTTTTCGAAGAACTGGTATCTATAATATATTATAGGTATTTGAAAAAATCCGGGTGCCAGTTTTTATTTAGAATTGACACCTATAATTGTCAAAAGTGCCGGTTACATATTTTTTCCTCATGTGAAGGTGAGAAATGGTCAATAGGTGTCAGTTTTAAATAAATCGGCATATATGAGCAGGTACCTATCAGGGTTTTTTTAAGTAGTGTATAAAAATGGAACACAGAGGGAGTAGCAATCATCTATAAATAACCATCACACGCCAACACAAGCTGAAGCACTGTCTACTCCACTAGCTAGCACCATTACTAGCTTAGCTAGATCACTTCACCACTTGAGCAATGGCTTCCAACAAGATCGCTCCCCTTCTTGCCCTGACCCTCCTGATCCTGTTCTTCGGGTGTGCAGTAACTAACTGCACCGGCAAGCCAGTTGCCCCGACGCCGCCGTCGCACGACGATCACGGCCGCTGCCCGATCGACGCCCTGAAGCTGAGGGTGTGCGCCAACCTGCTCAACGGGCTGATCGGTGTGAAGATTGGGCGCGGCCCAGACGATTGCTGCCCGCTGCTGGCCGGTATCGCCGACCTCGACGCCGCCGTCTGCCTCTGCACCGCTCTGAAGGCTAACGTGCTCGGCCTCATCAACCTCAACCTGCCCGTCGACCTCAGCATCATCCTCAACAAGTGCGGCAAGAACTACCCGTCCGGTTTCACCTGCTAATTATTTGAGCTGCAACAATATTCACTAGAGTTTATGTGTCTCAATAAGACGAGTTTAGTTTCGTGCAATGTCTGTCTGTTGACGCTGTTGAGTTGAATAAGCGTCTCGCGTCTGTTTGCAGGCAGTACTCGATCGATGTATGTCCAGTTCTACCGTCCTTGACCACCTGGTTATTCTAACTTGTAATACCCATCTTATATATATTAGATCGTTTTTATCAGTAAATCTCACAAAATTACATATATTTAATTAAAGGATCGCAAAACTACTACAGACTTAATTAGCTTGAAATTTCTCACAAAACTACAGATTTAGAATGAAGTGTCACATAAATAAAGATTAAATAGAAAATTTATCACAAAATTATAATTTTTGTACCAATTTATCACAAAACTAGAATGTTGATAGCTTTAACGCGTGAAGATAGTGGTACGAATTTAAAATTTAGAATATATAGTTTGTGATCACTTCAATATTAAGTATGTAATTTCATAATATTTAGTCTTGAATATTTATTTTTTAAAAAAAAACTAAATTAATCACTAAACCTGTAGTTTATCATACCACGTCTTAAATATCTAGTTTTACGATAATTTGATTAAAATATATGTAGTTCCGTGAAATTTAGTCTATTCATATTATCATGGCTCACACGTTGATATAATTTCTTTGTTTTCCATGCCCGCATAGGAAAGCACGACTTATATGTATGGCTGTATCTATATCATGGTGAGATAGAACTTATCGATAATTACCGGCAAAAATATTATTTGTACACAAGTTTAAGATACATTTATCACACGTGCTAACTAATAAATGTCACAATAATAGTAATAAAATAAAAATAATTTTACTTGTAAGTGTAAGCTTCTATAAAAATTCCTCTTAGATTCATTATGTTGATAGGCTATTTTAATATGATTTTCCATATAATATTGGATTTGCAGTATATTATGGTAGATACGAATCCAAGTACAATAGGTATACCTAATAAGTTATACTGACACATTACTCCCTCCGGTTCTATTTTAATTGACGTTTTGAACAATGACATGGTCTACAAGATATCTCTTTGACCTTATTTTTCTACTATAATATATATAATAAATAAATGCATATTTACTTTTATTATAGTGCTTTAAAAGACAAATCTATATATATTGTTTTAGTTTCTTTAAACTAAATATTTTTAAAGTTATTGATGGTCAAAGTTATAAAACTTTGATTTTAACCTTGTCTAAAACGTCAATTAATATAGAACCGGAGGGAGTATTAGATATGGCTGGCCTAAAAAGAGAAAAATCTAGCAAAATTGTACTTTTAAAACTATCATATTATTTTTTCCCTGTTGATTTCTGCTGAAACACAATGAAATTGAATTTGAAAACTAATATATAGGTGGCATAAAATGCATATATTTACGATATCTTTTTATATCTATTAGTTAGTATATGTTACTAGTACTTTTATTTCGTCAAAAAAAATGCCAACTTCTATATATATGAATCCAGATATATACAAAAGTTGTTTTTTTTAACGGAGCCCAGGGAGTACGAAATATGGATGCATAAATTGAAATACATTCATCTGGCAGCCCTAATTTCCACGAACCTAGGCCCATCACGAAAATGAGCCTAGGCGCATTAAGTGGACAACCCATTCGGCATCGTTGCCCTGGGTAGGTGAAGTGTCAAGTAGCTAGAGTACGGCATGTGTAATCATTTTATGGTGAATGGCCGCCGTACGTCGATCGATTGGCGAGAGGAGGCGGCGCCGGTGCCTACCTCCCGCGCCTCCGCCGCTTTTCAGCACACGATTTATCATTTGTCAATACATGCACGGGACGGGATGAATACGTACTTGATTTGAAATTAATAGAATAGAGATAACTTAACGATTCGGTGTAGTGAATTAAGATAATTAATTGTAGCCAATACAACAGTATAGTAACCCCTTCCGCCTTTGTATATACAGCATTTGGGGCTGCTGTGAGGTGGAGATAGAGCGAAATAGAGGGTGGTGCCACTTGCTTAATTTACTCTACTTTAGATCGAGTTTAAGATGATGCGGGTGCCTAAATTTGTATTGAGGGGTGCATACATGATGAAAATAGTTAAGGGTATAGCTAAAAAATTTCTTGACCGGGTTCCTGGGCACCCCCCAAATTAATATACACTCACTACTGGAGAAATGATCTTTGCTGGGTCGGCTGATTTCCACAATATTTCCGGTTCTAAAAAGAACCGGGGCTAAATATTGTTTTTAGTCCCGGTTAAATTTTTTTTTTTTAAGTACCGGTTCATCCCCTGTCAGAGGCTTGTGTCAGGGGGCTGAGGATCTTTAATCCTGGTTGATACTACTAACCGGGACTAAAGATTACCACTTTAGTCCTGGCTGGTAGTACCAACCGAGAGTAAAGATCATTTAGATCTTTATTTCCAGTTAGTAATACCAACCAGGACTAAAAATCTATCTTTAGTCCCGGTTGAAGTTACCAACCGGGAGTAAATATTTCTCTCCCATCTCTGATCGGTTAAGTCCCAGACGGGCTTTCTTCCTCACCGAGATATTTAGATAAGATTGGATCGATCTCACCCCCTCTGCTCCTAACCCCTCAGATCCCCTTCCTCCTCCTCCCCCCTCCTCCCATTCCTCCTCCCTTCTCCTCCCCCTCCTCCCCTCCCATCCGGCGATCGGCAGCGGCGGGCAGGTGGGGCCGCGGTCAGGTGTGGCGAGTGGCGGCAAGCGGGGTCATGCCCGGCGGCGGCGACGGGGCCGCAAGCGGCGGCCATGGCAGCCGACAGCGTCCATTCTTTTTTTTTTTGATAATTTGTGATTCCCTGAGATGTATAATTTCTTTTTTTGTACAACTTGTGATTCATTGCATGGATCTTAGATGTATTTGATTTGTGTGTAATTTTTTTAGGATTTGTGATGTATTTGATTTATGTGTATAAAGTAACTTTGGATTTGTGATGTGAATGATTTGGGATATTACTTTGATTTGGGGATTTGGGGTTTGCTTTGAGGATATGCATGGCACTCGATTTGGGAGAAAATAAAGGGATTAACTCTTTCAATTAGCAAAGAAACAATGAAAAAAAAAGAAATGGGGACCGACGGGGACTGCCTATGCTCTCTTTAGTCCCGGTTGGTAACACCAACCGGGACTAAAGATTGAACTTTACTCCCGGTTATTTCACCCCGGACTGAAGATGCGCATTTTTAGTCCCAGATTCGTAGTCCCGGTTGTTGGAATTAATAGATGGGCCTTATCCCACTCGAAGATTAATTATTTTGAAAATCACAAAAGCCCACCTCATGGGATGGCATGCATGGGAGTTTAGTATCACCTTGCTTATTCTAGGAGAGGAGGACCTCCTTAAAAGGGAGGATGCCCTCCTAGCCACTTGAAGCATGTGAGGTGGAGAGAACAGGGGGAATACACGCGTGCTCGCTCGCCTCGCCTGGCGGGGCGGGCGGCACAACGTACGCGTCGAATGGTCCACAAAATTGGTTCCTCACCCTTGCGCAGATGCGGCCTTCTTTTGCAGTTTTGTTTTGCTGCGGGAAATTTAGAAAAATCCGTTGCGTGAAAACGGCGTGGAGTTCGAATAAGTTACGCGTGACTTATCCGGTTCGGTTACGCGGAGTGGAGATCAAGCGACCTTTCTCTATATAAACCGAGCCGCCGCCTCCACGCAACACACGTGAAATCAATCTAGGGTTTGCCTCCTACTCTGTACTGCGCCGTCGCTTGTAGACTACTCCATTCCGCTCGCCGGCATGCAGCGGCGATCGGGATAGCATGTCTCCGGAACCTCTGCCTTCCACGTCCTGCACCGGGAGAAGGCGGCAATAAGGTTTTTGGGAAGCGCTTCGCACGACTGCTCCCTATTCGTTCACGACGGCTCGTCTTTCTGTTTGCTCGCGTGATGCACGCCTTTGTCAACGCCCGCAACCGCGAGTAATTCCTGCTGTGCAACTGGTCTTCCGGTACCCTTGGTACGTGCTCACTATGTTACGCATATTTGATCTGTTTATGCTATACTATCTAGTTTACATATGTAGATCTTATGATATGTTCATGCTAGTTTACATATGCAATGTCATGATTTATTTATGGAATAAATTAAATTATTATGTGTTAATAATTTCAACACCGGTTGGAAAATCGGGACTATAGGGGTTCCCAACTAGGAGTAAAAACGGTTTTGTAGTGACTATCTCCACCCCTAGCTGTGAACATCGTCGAGACAGAATGAGCCGATATTTTGTTAGAACATCCTTAAAGTTCTTTTTTTTAAAAAAAAACGACCTTAATTACTACCCGCTCGTTATCACATTAGTTTTCTGCCATGAAATTCGGTGTTATTGAGGAAAAAAAACGAAAAGACAACCCAATAAATACTATGATATTTATAGAACCTTATTGTCTATTTTTTTTAAAAACAATATTAATGAGTTTGTAACACCAGGTTTTAGCTTAGTTGTCAAAAACTATTTTACAAAATAATACCCTAGTGTCAAAATTTTTCTGGTTCTGTGCGTGTATCTATGATCTTGTGCGACGGTCTCAAATAAATCATTCTTTGGAACCCTAATTATGATGCAAAATTCTCTATCCAATTTAGTTTAGATAATGGAACGCAAGGCAACAAGGATTTTTATACTGATCCAGCACACCAAGATGGGTAATAGCCCAACTTTTGGTGACCGGAGCTAGTGTATTATATATATCATCCTCATGAGAATAATGAGGAGGAAAAAAAACCTAATCTAGTATGCTAGTATATCGGTGCAGAGCTTGGGCATAGTGGTTGGCGACTAGTTGTTATCGACTTCTTTGGGTGTTGACTCGACGAGATCGGAGGTGTTATATGTTGTCTTAGTTTCTCTCATGGGTTTTGACTTGTCCTACTCCTCACTTACGTGCCTGGTATTTATACCCTCAGTTGCCCGTTTGTCCAAGTAGAACTAGGGAAAAAAGTATGATCCGAGTAGTCCAAGCAGCGCAAGTAGGCCTATGTATTTCATTTATTATCTAGGAATCCTTCCTTATCTATTCCAGACTTTATCTAGGTTTGTTTCTGTATTGGACTTGGTCTACAGTGGTCTTGCGAGGTAAATACTATATATAGGGTATCCAATATCCAGAACGCTGACAATATTCGAACAAAACATACTATGTACACCATGAATTTTATGTTTTGTCATTTGAAGAAACCCTTGCATGGGTGAAGAAATGGGGAGCGTCTTCATGGAATACATTTACATTTATGATCAGTGAAGTTGGTTGGGGACCAAATCACGGCCTTCCTCAAGTCTACTCCAACACCACCATGCCATTATTGAGCCATAGAAGGCAAGAGATACATGGTTTGGAGTCAGATTCGGGTCTCCTAACAACATTAACTTCAAACAGACTTAGCTGCTGATTAAGAAGAACACTTCGGTCTTCCTCCTAAGCTGTTTGGAATTTTCTAAACAAACCACGTCAAAGTCAGTTTTTAGGTATTGGACTTCGTAATTATATCATAGGCTAAACCCAAAAGGTGTGCCTTATAAATGTTTTATATTTTCCACTAAGAATGAAAATGGCCAAATGAATTACCTAGATTTGGTATAGAAGGAGGGCAAAAGAGAAATCATAGACACTAACGACGCCAAAGGAAAAGGACATATATATATATAGGCCCATTAAAAGAGGATATGGATTTTTTTCCCACGGAGGGAATGTTTACTCATTTTCTTACATGTCATTTAACTAATGAAAAGCATTGAAAAAAAAATACTCCCTCCGTCCCGAAGTATAAGAATCTAGGACCAGATGTCTGTCCAAATTCGTACTACTAGGAAATGTCCTATCCGATCCTACGTTCTTATATTTTGGGACGGAGGGAGTACAAGGTAAAAAAGATCGAACTAAATAGCGGTGATTCTAACGAAACTTTGTATACATAAAGGACCCTGCTAATGCTTATTTTGTGATGAATAATTGGCATATGAGATTATTGGTTTTGATATTTGGAGATTATTGGCAAAGTGGTTTTGGAGATGATTGGATTTGCAGGTGATGAACAAAGACTACTGATTGAGCGGGTCCGGTCAGACCGGGTAGTGGTTGCCGGTCAGACCGGCATGTATCGTGTGGTCAGATCGGCCAGCACGTGGTCTGACTGGCCAACTCTATGTCGGTTTCGGATTCGGGTTGATTTGTTGGATATCCGTAGATAATTCATGTTTATGACTTCTATATGGATACTATGTGTATGTAGTATTGTTGTTTATTAACAATGAGTCAAGTTGGTGAGAACTTGTGCTCGGATATGGTTTCTTGGTTGATGCATGTGTAGGTGGTCTTCATGCCTTGGGAGAGTGTTGCCGGTGATGGATCGGGAGTCAATTTATGAGAATATGACGTCCGGACGATCAGGATATCGTGCGGGATGCTTAGGCTAAATATTAATGCACGTGGTTGGTGAAGATTCCATTTGTCATACGATGGAGATATTGTGTGAGTATGGGATACGGAGTCGAATTTGGAGGGAGTCCAAATTTGGTACAATTGGAGTTTGTAAAGTTTGTTTCTTTTACGGGAAGGTTTCCTAGGGGATTAGGACTTCTTGTACAAGTTTGGGTATAAATAGAGAGAGAGGGTGCGGCCTCCCGATATCGTTTTAGAGAGAGTTGAGTTGAGAGAAAAGTTTGGGTTTCATGTTTAGTCAATATTTTCGTGAGGAGTGCTGTTGTTGCACTTTGTAAACATAGAGAGAAGTAATAAAGTTTCAATCTACTTTGTGAGATCTTTGATTTGTGTTTGCTCGGGTTCGACGGTCCAACCGGCGGGACACCGGTGGTCAGACCGATGGCATCGCACCGGTCAAACCGGTAGGTATACGGTGGTCAGACCGACGGCGGCGACAGGAGGTAGAGGCAATTGTAGGGCGGTTAGACCGGGCGATCAACACCGGTTAGACCAGCAGCATAGGCACGGCGGATTAACCCCGGTCAGACCGATCTACATTGGATTCGAGGGTATCTTTAATTCCACTAAAAGTTTTGGTTTTGGGTACTACAACTATTCACCCTCTTATGGTTGGCTTAGGCCCCGTTTGTTTCAGCTTAAGATTATTGTAATCTAGATTATTAAATCAGATTACTCTAAGTTGGATTATAATAAGCTGACATAGAATAAGCTGTGAGCTATTTGTTTCTCTGGATTATTGAAGGCATCTAATGGTAGTTGGTCTTTAGCCACCCAATAATCTGAAAAAAGCTCCTCCAGAGGAGATTATTAGATTATAGTAATATGGCTTATAGATTATAATAATCTATCATAATAATCTACTTGTTTGTTTCAGCTTACTCTTAATAATCCAGATTATAATAATCCTAAGCTGAAACAAACAGGACCTTAGTTCTTGTTGTTCGATCCTACATCAATGATGAGTTCTCCACAAACGACTTATCAGTATCTATCGAAAGATCAGGACTATGTCTCATCATTAGGGCCCTTTTGAATCCCAGGGTTAAAAAAAGTAGAGAAATAGGAAAAATACATGATTCTGACATGAATTAAAGTATAAAATAGATGATTGCAAAACATAGGAAAAAACACAGGAATGATCGTTTGATTGGACCATAGGAAAAACACAGGAATCGGATAAGAGAGATAGACTCAAAGGAAATTTTCAAGAGGTTAGACCTCTTGCTAAGTTTCCTCCAAAATATACATGCAATGTGTCATTCCATAGGAATTTCATATGATTTGGAAAGTTTTAATCCTTTGAATCAATGTGCCAAATAGAAAATTTTCCTATAGGATTTGAATCTTATGAAATTCCTTACATAAATCCTTTGATTCAAAGGCATGCTCAGCGCATTATAACATGGAGATAAAATCATATTGCTCGCTTGCCATGTTTGTCTAATGCCGCGGTGGGGAGTTCCAGCTATCTGGCAGCTTGTTCTCATTTCTCCCTTTCAGACGTCAGATTTGCTCAGAGTAAACAGTTCAGATCGGTCATGACTTGCATGCATTATGTATAAATTTTCCAGCCAGCTGATCAACTCGTCGCACACGCTTGCATGCATGACTGAGGGAGTATAAAATTATATAAATCGTTCCAAAACGTCCTCGTAGTGTGTGAGTATATAACCAATGGAGATTAAACTCTGAGGATCCAGAAAACACTGAAAAAACAATACTAATTGGTTGAGAAATTGTGATATCGCGTAAAATGGACAACTTGTGAACCGGGCAAGATTTGTTGATTGGTGCTCTGCATGACCCAATTCAACGTTGGAATTAAGAAATTATCTTGTCAACTCTGAACAACTGGCCTATGCAGCTAGCATGCTAATGCATGCAATTCCATCCAGGAAAACCAAGCAAACTATCGCACATGCATCATGCATGCAACTACCTATACCAAGCTAAGCAACTATACTGTCTCACCTATAACTAGCAGGCGCGCGTCCAAACAGCCCAAGCAAATTGTCCAAGGCAACTTGAGTGCAATCACTAACTACTAGCAGCTCACTCGATCTCAGATCAATGGCTTCCAAGGTGGTCGCTCCCTTCATTGCCCTTAGCCTCCTCCTCCTTGCTGTCATAGCTAACGGTTGCACACCCAACTGCCCCGGCGAGCAGGTTGTCCCGACGCCCACGCATCATGGCAAGAACGGTGGGCATGGCCGTTGCCCGATGGACGCTTTGAAGCTGAGAGTGTGCGCCAACGTGCTCAAGGGGCTGGTCGATGTGGAGATCGGGCACGGCCCCGACGACTGCTGCTCGCTGCTATCAGGGATCGCCGATATCGACGCTGCCGTCTGCCTCTGCACCGCCGTGAAGGCCAACGTACTTGGTATTAGGGTCAACCTACCAGTCGACCTCAGCCTCATCCTTAACAAGTGTGGCAAGACATGCCCGTCCGATTTCACCTGCTAAGCTACACAGTTATAATGTTCCAGAGTTTAATTTGGTGTGGTTGTTGGTTATTGTGGCCGTTTGTACGATTCCTCGTGAATAAGTCTCCTGTCTGTTTTGCAGATTGATATGCGGTTGTTTTATCATCCACATGAATCACTTTAATTTGATTGTTGTAAGTTGATTACTTTTTCAGAGATTGTAATATGTAAAACACGTTATATATTGTTACCCTGAGATATTTTAATGGCTTACATGTTCGTTTTCTCTCACACATGCAAGCATAAAAATTGATCGATCTTCAAATTAAACTGCATTACGCACATTGATATGGACCATGCACCTGATCACAGTATCAGAAACTAGATTTGCCCTGACGACCGCTGCTTTTAGTGACATGGATACAGCTATCTAGCGAGGTGTGGTGTCTTATTTTCCTGATGGTCGTACCCATAAAAAAATATTCCAATATCTCTGACCGCCAAACCTATCAGTGATATGCAACTATCGCAGACTGTCCATTCCACGTCAGGACAATTATTTCCTTGACGTGTACGCACCAGGCAAATTTCCTTTTCTCCGACGAGCTAGTTATGATGGAAATTTCCTATCGTTGACACATTAGGAGCCATTTTTCTGACTGTATTTCATTTATTCCATACAGTTTTTAGCTGGCAGGGCTAATCCAGTTACTGGTACTGGGAGAAAAGACGATGTTGAAATTCTACGAGGTGACCGATCGAATTTCATCAAACTGGCCCACATACGGGCCTAACAAAAAAGTCATTTTGACACAAGTATGTGCAGCCTATTGGTGAGATTCCCATTCCACCCTATCCAGAATGAGTTACTCACGATAGCCCTCAAAAGAAGATGGTCCACATGGCTATATCGCAACCAGTAGACCTGTCAAAAGACAACACGAACTCACTCACAAGGGGTGGCCCGATCTCCACGATAGTAGGTTTAAAGCAAGTGTAAGAAAGGAGCACTGGCGTAAACCAAGTGGTGAGGGTGAGAACGACCCAAAGCGTCCTGAACTACGATCCATCACACGAGCAATCACAGAACCATAATATTTAACTAATCCACACAACAAGCCCAAGCAAATGCATTAACTAGGAGGCCCAAGAGGATGTAAGACAATATGCAGTCTTTAGCATTCTCTCGTACATGAGTTTTTCAATTGAACAAATATTCTCTAATGGATAGAGTATAATGGTAGTTCTACTAAGAATAACGCTCCTAGTTGGGTGTGAAAACAAGCACACATGCAACAGGTCAGGTCACCATTGGGCTCATATCATCACCTCTGACATGCTTAGCCCTAGTAAGAGATTAGTGGTTAGTCATGACTGAGTCACCTGTTATAGGTGAAGATCTCTCGGACTTAGGAGTTACCTTTAACGGGCCCCAACCAAAACCCGTCATATGTGAGAGTCATTTCTAACGGCTATATATTTTAACCTGTTACTGGTACCTTTATCTATAATAGGTTATAGTAAGGACCCATCACTAGTGTGGAAAATGGGAAAAGAAAATATCATCCACCTAGGATGCTATCACACTCATTCAGGATATCACAGATCACATTAGGCATTCACAAATCACAAAAATCATCACAATCCCTCTCGTCCCCATCGCATTTGTCCCAATTAAAAAACAAAACCTTGAATCTCAATCACCACAATCAAATAGAACCACAGGGATTGGAATCATCACTGCGGCAACAATGTGAACAACATGAACTACATGAAGCAGCAAGTGAACTACATGCAAAAGTACTTGGGTGAAAAAGAACTTGCAAGCAATGGATCTTAGTGCCATTGCCATGGTGGTGAGTCGCCTTCCACCATGCTTGTCATGCTTGTCCTTGAGGCGGTGACTGGCGCGGTTGCGGAGGAGATGAAGAGACAGCGGTAGACGCTCGGACCAGAGGGGGGCAATGACTATGGCTCGATGGTGTGCACTTGTGGATGGAGGCGGCGATGACCTGAGCTCAGGGATGGAGGGGGAGGCACTACAACAAAACCATTGTTTTAAGACGTTTCACTTAAGTCATTCTATAAGTCGTCTCTTTTTTATAAATGAAATTAAAATAGGGACGATGTTTGAGACGCTTTATTAGTTGAGGACATAGTTTAAGACGCTTTACAGGTTAGCACAAAATTAAATCGTTTAGAGATGAATATTGAGACGTTTTTGGAACATCTCATGTGTAGAAATGAGTTTTGAGACGTTTTTATTATATCCGTGTCATCGTTATTAGATAATATATAATTATTTATATAGAGAAAGAAGAAAATAAACACACTGATCCTAATCGTCATCATCAAATACCATTATAATAATATTATAATTATTTGGACCAAAAAAAATAAATATTTAATATTCAGTCTTAGATTAAAAAAGAAGAGAACTGCTACAGGACGCATGTTTGCAGAGTTGCAATATAAAAAAAACTATCTATTTACCTTCAAGATTGTCACGTTAATGACTTGGTTAGTGCATGAACTTTGTAACCTGCAGGTGTTGTGTTCGAGCCCAGATGAAAGCATTAATATCAAATATATTAAGATGTGCGTGCCTATATAAAAGCGTCTCTATATTTTATAGAGATGCAATTTACACGTCTCTAGCAACGTCTTAAATAATATAGGTACGCTTTAAAAAGCGTCTCCATAATTTTGAGACGGTGCAAACAGAGACGATCCTACGACGCTTTATAAAAGCGTCTCAGTTATCTGTGGGAGACGAAATAAAACGTCTCTATCTTACAAATAAGATGTCTCCTTTGGGTTGTTTTGTTGTAGTGAGGGCACGGTGGTGGGTGCTTGTGGATGGATGTGGGGGTGGAGGCAGAGGCAGAGGGGGTTGGCACTTGTGGATGGAGGCGACGGTCACCTGATCTTGGGGGAAGAGGTCTAGGCCTTAGTGGCGGACGATCATTGATGGAAGTGGAAATGACCGGAGCTCGAGGGCAGAAGTGAAGGCCATGGTGGTAGGTGCTCGTGTATGGAGGCGGAGGCAGCCCGAGCTTGGGAATGGAGGTGGAGTCCGCGGTGGTGGGTGCTCGTGGATTGAGGCGGCAATCAATAGAAGTTGGGGGCAGAGGTGGAGGCGACAGTGACGGGCGCTCGTGGATGGAAGCAATGAGGACCCGTGCTCGGGGAGGGGGAGGTGGAGGTCGCGGTGGCGACAGGAGCTCGGGGTTGGAGGCTAAGGCCGGTGCATTGGATCCGATCTTGGTGGAAGGAAATGAGAGAGAGAGGGAGAGAGGGAGAGAGAGAGAGAGTGAAAGAGAGAAGAAAATGAGTGGGTGGGAGAGTGATATGGGTATTGTTCGGTGGTTTTCATCTGTGATGGGTAAAAAAGGGAACCGTTAGAGATGACTGTCCTCATCTTCGACGGATTATGTCTATAAACCCCTACAGGTGTGTTGTCACCTATGATGGCCTATATGTGGGCTTGTTAGAGGTGTTCTTTATCGGGTTCACAAATGGGCCCGTCACAATTAAGTTCTTAGCTGTGACGAGCTGTGCCCGTGGGGCCTTATCTAGAGTGGGCTTTAGTTTAGCCCGTTAGAGGCGAGGTACTTCTGCCCATCATAGGTAGGCCTTAGTGAGGTTATCTTGGTGGAGCATTTATGGAGTCTTTTCTGATTCTTATGCAACATCTGATACCTGTGCAGCTTCCAATAAAATATCAATTACTCTTAGCTCGAAAGTCGAAACGAGGTGTCTTTTATTGAGTCTGAAAGTGGACAAAATAAGTTTACCGACATATAGGATATTCATATTGAAACGAGGTTTGGCTGGGTAGCTCATCTCTTGGAAGCCAGATAAGTTGCTGCGTAATCAGTAGACTCTCGTCAGCATAATACATCGCAGTTTGGTTCAACTTCTATGTAATCCATGTAACTACGGAAAATAAATACTACTAGCTAATACTCCCTCCATTCCAAATTGATCTAAATATTTCACAGGTACACAAAGACCAAGAAAAGCTAATAACTCTCTTATACTATATTTACTTTAGCAACAAACTCCATATATGCACCATCCCCACTATTTCCTAGCCAATAGCAAATCAAGATATTACATGTGGGTTATAAATACTTGTGTGCATGGATGCATGCATCAATGTCCATTTACTCTAATGCACAAATAACGAATAGACTTAATAAATGAACACAAATATATAGATCATTTAGTAATAATCTCAAAAAAAACTATAAGCAGATCAATTTGGAATGAAGGGAGTATATTACTATGTAATCATGTAATATATTAAGAAATTGTGATAAAATGGACAACTGGTGAATTGGAGATGATTGGTTAATTGGTGCTCTGCATGACTGCATGCCAAAATTCAACGTTGCAATTAAGAAATTATCTTGCCAACTCGAAGAACCAACCGACCCATGCAGGCAGATGCATGCAAATCCATCCAGGAAAACCAAGCAACGTACTGTCATGTCACACATGCATGCATCATGCAAGCAACTACCTATAGCAAGCTAGCTCATCTATAAATAGCAGACGCACACCCAAACACCAGAAGCAAACCGTTCCTAAGCCACACAAGATAGAGCAGCCATAAGCCAGCTCTTGAGTGATCACTGACTACTAGTAGCTCACTCGATCCCAGCTCAATGGCTTCCACGGTCGTCGCTCCCTTTCTGGCCCTTAGCCTCCTCCTCTTTGCTGTGGTAGCACACGGTTGCACACCCAACTGCCCCGGCGAGCAGGCTGTCCCGGCAACACCCGTTGCAGTGCCAGTGCAGTCGCACCATGGCCAGCACGATGAGCATGGCCGTTGCCCGATCAACGCCCTGAAGCTGAGAGTGTGCATCAACGTGCTAAACGGGCTGGTCGATATGAAGATAAAGATCAACAGATCAAATTAATAGGTCCACATGGGTGAGATAAAGATGAAATGTAAGCAACTAAAATATGTTGACCCATGCATGAAAAAAATAGATTGATATGTAGATCTGTATATGATATGATCATGTCTTCAAACTGTGTCGTGCACACCAATGTCGACCTTGCACCCAAGTATAGACGGTCCTGCAATTATTGTTGTAATGTATATGACCGGTCGAATTTTATCACAGCGGTTCAGGCCTAACTACGTAGTCGTTTCGGCACAAGTATGTCCAGCCCGTTGGTGGCATTCCCATTCCCTCAAGCTAGCCCTCAGAAAAAGATGGTTCAGATGGATGCATTGCAGCTTTGCGAGCAGTAGTTCGGCCATAAGGTCATCCCTTACGCTACAACCAGACAAGCAGCAGTAGTGAAAACAGGATTAAAATTTAGAGGGTACGGTGCACGTGAAAAGAATAATAATATTAACACAATGCTGGTCACGAAAAAAAAAATACTCCTACTCCTATTGGAAGGTAATGGTTGTAACAGAAAATATCCTACACCACCTATTCCTATTGGAGTTGTGCAAATTACCCATTAAACTTATTATTAAAAAATCAATGAAATAGAAATAGATTGCCACATATAAAATCTATTTAATATGAATAATCTCTGCAGTAAAATTATAGGTAAGACATTTTATGGAAAATATATATTATTATTTGTCGGAAAAACAAACTAATTTGACAAACATGGGAAACAAACGATCCCGGTCGAGGAGGGGTTTTGGGATCCTTGGTATGCTTGGACCTGCTCCGGAGCTAAGTCAACACAGAAAATGTTTACAGGCTTAGACCTCTTGGAGAATAACAATCCTATTCATGTTTGTATCACTATGTCGATCAAGCATTACAAAGTTCTCTACCTGGAGAAATTTAGTTCCTTCTGGATCTGGAGTCTAACCTATGTATCAAGCTTCGGTGAGGCTTATATACCTCCTGTTGCCCTCTTGATTTCTCCGCTGCATGACATAATCTACTATTTACAATCATGAGTACTCTTTTTGCCCTTTGAGCCCCGCATCGGTATAGCCGATGAGGCAACTATATGTGGGACGTTACGCCGGGCTCACTTGCCAAGTCTTGTTATTCCTGCTGAGCTAGTGTGAAAATATGACTTTTAGAAAAGGACTGTAGCAACGGGACATCTCGAGGTAATTCGTAACAAATGCGATTGTCAGGCTTGGCAGTGCACCGCGTCGGACGAGGACATAAGGCCCATGGGACATGTCTCCTCCCTCAGGCCTATAAAAATGCCACAATAGCCTTTCCCGGGCTATCGAGGAGTTTCCACAGCCGACCACTTAGAATGTGACTTCGTGTCACTTCTCGGAATAGACCACGTATCAAACATCGGATGTTTGGACACTAATAATAAATATTAAACGTAGACTATTAATGAAACCCATCCATAATCTTGAACTAATTCGCGAGACGAATCTATTGAGCCTAATTAATTCATGATTAGCCTATGTGATGCTACAGTAAATATTCTCTAATTATAGATTAATTAGGCTTAAAAAATTTATCTCGCAAATTAGCTTTTATTTATGTAATTAATTTTGTAAGTAGTCTATATTTAATACTCTAAATTAGTGTTTAAATATAGGGACTAAAGTTAAGTCCCTGAATCCAAACACCACCTTAGCTATGCTATAGAACACAATACACATGGTTGTTCCCAAGAAGACTAACATTTGGGCCCATCTTACAACAGAGCCTTGAATCAGTTCCCGTGCAGCTAGGCCATCAGTTCCACACACCCACGAGTAGACCAAGTCACCGTCCCCAAGCAACCCTGTGCCACCGCCTAGGTTTTCGAGTGTATCGGCTTCATTGTGGTTCCGTGAGTCATGCAGCGAGAGAGTGCATGGACCTTCCCGTGGGATTACAGGTCATTAAATGGAGACTGTATAGAGCGATGCTATGCCTTCACAATGAAGCAAACTGGCTAAATAGAGACCTTTGGCTAGAATGTAGATATTCTTTATTTCAGGTGATATTATAATATATTTTTTATCCATAGCAAAGCACGAATACTCAACTAGCTAGTATCGCGTAAAATGTACTACTGGACATGATTGTTCGATTGGTGCTCTGCATGACTGCATAATTCATTTCATCGAATTAAGAATTTAACTTGTCATATATCCCACCAACTACTGGTCCATGCTTGCATGCAAATCCATCCAGGAAAACAAAGGAACTATTACACAAGCAACTTGCGTGCAACTAAACTATAGCAAGCTATAGCTCACCTATAAATATCAGACGAAAACCCACAAGCAAACCATCCCAAACTGACACAAGCTAGAGCAGTCTAGAACACTGAGTGACTGATTACCACCGGCTCATTCGATTTCAGACAAAATTATGGCTTCCAAGGTCGTTGCTTCTTTCCTTGCCCTTTCCTCTTTGCTGTCACCGCACACGGCTGCACACCCAACTGCTCTAGTGAGAAGGTCATCCCTACGCCACCCGAAGCAGTGCCGGCGCCATTGCACCCTGGTGGGCACAGTGATCACGGGCGTTGCCCGATCAACGCCCTGAAGCTGAGAGTGTGCGCCAACGTGCTAAAGGGCTGGTCGATGTGAAGATTGGGTACGGCCCCGATGACTGCTGCTCGTTGCTGTCAGGGATCGCCGATCTCGATGCTGCCATCTGCCTTTGCACCGCCGTGAAGGCCAATGTGCTTGGCATTAGGGTCAACCTCCCAGTTGATCTCGGACTCATCCTCAACAAGTGTGGCAAGACCTATCCGACCGATTTCACCTGCTAAGCGGCACAGTTATAATATTCCAGAGTTTAATTTGGTGTGGTTGTTCGCTATTGTGGTTGTTGGCTATTGTTCCCCGTGAGTAAGTCTCTTGTCGGGTTTGCAGATTGATGTGCGGTTTTATCATCCTTGAATCACTTTAATTTGATTGTTGTAAGTCGTTTTTTCTTTCTAAAATCCATTATATATATTGTTATCTCGAGATAATTTTAATGGCTTACATGTTCGTTTTCTCTCAGCCCTGCACGCATAAAAAAAGATCGATTTATAGATTCGTATTTGATATGATCATGTCTGTTTGCTAATCGATCTGCATTTGTATCAACCTTGAATCACATGATTGTTGTAATTAAGCTGGTTTTTTTGTGAGATTGTAATATGTAAAACCTGCTATATATATTGTTATCGAGAATATATTTTATTGGTTTACTACGTGTCCACTTTCTCTCACCATGCATGCATAAAAATAGATCGATCTGCAAATCTTTATCTGATATGATCATATGTCTATAAGCTACAAAGAGGGTCAATCCCGGTTAGGAAGGGCCCAATGGAGGGTCCCCAACCAGCTCTGGATTTTCAGCATGGATGACGGGGACTCACTAGTGCCGAAGTTTAGAACAAGAACTGGTATGTTCCCCCAAGTCCAAAAAAAAGGGAGCTGCTCAAAGCATTGGCTTGATGAATTGAGCCCATGCTTTGAGCGGTCCCCTCTGAGATCATGCTCCCCTAATCCCCATTATAGAAGACGAACAACAAGAACACAAAATATTCACAATCAGTATCCATCTTGGTGCCAGCACTGCTTTGTGGCCGCCACTGCGGATGTCAGACCCATCCCTTGCCTCGCCGCTGCACATCCCGGCACGGACGCCATCCCTCGCCTTGCCATTGCTGCTGCCGATGGATCCCAACTACATGTCTCACCAGTAGCCACCTCAGAAATGTTGCGTCTCCTACAATGGGCAAACACCATGGTCACTGGTGAGCACTGGAAGGGCAAAAAGAAGAGGCGTTGGAGTGAGGAAGAAGCATGCATCCTAATGGCAAAATAGTCCACAGGATGGTGAAGACGCTCTGCTTAAGGGTGGAATTTTATCCAAGCCCGTTCCAGTGATGGCATTTTAGTGAAGCTGTTTTTTATGTTGGTACATATACAAATTTCTCCTGAAATACAACCCTCAATCAAAAACAACAAATGTGAAACTTAGCGTAGCTAGATTACCAATCCACGGCAAAGACTTTAGTCTAGGGATGATACCCTAATCTTCGTTATCTTCAACCTCGACTCAGAATGGACGACAAACAACAACAATTGGGAATTGAGTACATTCGTACTCAGCGAACTACTGGAATATGTGTAAAATGCAAGCTTGAAAGGAAGGTTGGGTTTGTTTGGCAATTCATTTATTTTAAACACTTTTGAAAGTTCTAAGTGTGGGTTATTATAAAACATACCATCTCGATTCACCCACGAGTTGCGATCCAACAACTCAAGCAGGAAAGTCAAATTTTAGTTTTATGCAACATTTTCTTAAAAGGACCTTGTTTTCACTTAGAGGAGGGGTTGAATAGTCATTTCTAAAAGTTATCACAACTTTGAAGCGCAATAATAAGCAATCGGAATTTTATATTCAAATCGAAGTTGCCGATATGAACCGGAAAGTCCGACAGCTGAGAGTAAAACAATAATTATGAAATTTTAGCTCAAACAAACAATATGTACATGAATCAAAAGGTAACAAACAAGATATATAAGAAAGATATAAAATCACCAAGTAGATTAATTAAGCATTCAAATATATCTAAGCACAATATGAACAAGGCAATAACGGACAAACCAAGAGAGGAGACACGTGATTTATTTACCGAAGTTTGGATCTACCAATCCTACGTCTCTATTGAGGGGCTACAAAGGCTGGGTCTCTTTCAACCCATTACCTTACGTGGTTACACAAATACACTACTCGATTTTACTCTTGCTTTCTTCCAACACAGAGGTGAAATCGAAGCCTACACAACCTTGGATGCTCACTGGCAACGTCTAGCTATCTAAAAGACTTTAATATCAAAGAGTAATAAACGCACACAAAGCTAGCTTACGAAGGGAATTTGAATTCAACATCCATAAGTTTTTTTTTCATATCAATTACTTGAGAATTGAGATTTTGGTTCAAAAAGATTAGTTTTTAATTGAGATCATGGCACTAGATCCTAGATACACTTAAAGAATCAAATTATTGAGCATATGATTTTCATTAAAATAGTTTTAACGGTTGAACGAAAATCGAGGCATTGCATTACTTCTGGATTTATTTATGATAGTGGACACGATTGAACGCAAAGTACATATGAAGAACATTTTTCTAATTACTAGTTTTGAATTTTGGAATTAAATTTAATAAGTGCTAAATTGAAAGTCCAAGACTGCTACAGCATCATATTTATTAATTTTGAATTTGTAAACACAACATGCAAAGAGTTCATGGTGCATGTTTTACTTAATGCTTCTCAATACAACATATATGACCACGCTAATATAAGCCACGTAGCCAGGTCGGCCGGATACTTTTGGTTACGTCAAAACTCTCTTAGGATAATAAATTAGACAGTGTAGGTATAAATTACTGGTAGGTAACTTTGTTGAACAAATACTGGTGGGTAATTAATGGGCTAGACCGGGATGATTAAAGAGATTAATGGGCATGGTCAGCACATTATATTGTGGACATATAAATCATATTGTCTCAGCATATTGGGGCTGTTTATACACATTTGTTGATAAATTTTCTGTCAATAATTTGACAGGTACAAATATAATATAATCATATAACATTATATATAGTGTATCTTGCATTTAAATATAATGCAAGTATATGTAACTTTAAAAAGTCCCATGGTAACATGCTGTTTTTACAAAGTGGAGGTCACCGGATCGAATCACCTCACCTATGCCCGTGCTGTATGTTTTTTTCTTCCTAGTTGCACAAATCTTGAAAAAAATTCAATGGTTTAAAATCATGAAAAAATTGTAGTTACATGATTTTATTATAATTATATAGTATGTTTGATAAATTTTAGGAGAAAATTTATTGATAAATATATAACAAAATCGTTTCAGATTTGTTCAGACTTCAGACCAGTCATGACTTGCATGCCTTATTTAAATTTCCAGCCAGCTGATCAGCAAGTCGCACACGCTTGGATGCATTATATATACTCCTATTTATTATAACTGGAGGGAGTATACTCCCTAGGACGGAGAAATAATGCATCCAAGGACGGAGAAATATATACTCCCTGAAGTTATTAATTACTCCCTAGGACGAAGAAATAAGCTTTCTTACCTGTTTGGTACAGCTCCAACTCCTAAATTTAACTCCAGAAGTTGGGTCTGGAGTGGAGTTGTGGAGCTGCCTAAACCCAGCTCTACAACTCTAATTCATTTTGTGAGAGAACTCCACTCAGCTTCACTCCCAATTTTGGTGGAGCTGAAACTGTTTGGCTGAGCTCCAGCTCTAGGAGGGGTGGAGCTAGAGCTGGAGCTGTGCCAAACAGGCCCGTAGTGTGCAAGTATAAGTAACAGAGAATAACATCCGAGACCCAAGAAACTCTGAAAAAACAATATTATATTGATAGATCCAGAAATTATGATATCGTGAAAAATGTACAACCGGGCATGATTGTTTGATTATAATTGGTGCTCTGCATGACTGCATAGCTCTATTCATCGAAATAATTACGGAGTAAGAATTTAACGTGTCATGTCTCTCGCCAACAACTACTGGCAATTATCATATCTCGGTATCTCACACATGCATCATGCATGCAACTACATATACGAAGCGAGCTCATCTATAAATACCAGGCGACAGGCGACACCACAAGCAAATCATCCAAAAGCGACGCAAGCCAGAGCAGCCTAGAACACTGAGTCACTGAGTACCAATAGCTCACTCGATCTCTCGGATATACCAATGGCTTCCACGGTTGTCGCTCCCATCCTTGCCCTTAGCCTCCTCCTCTTCGCCGTCATTGTGCGCGGCTGCACACCAAACTGCTCCGGCGAGCAGGTCGTCCCGACGCCACCCACTGCAGTGCCGACGCCATTGCACCACGGCGGGCATGGTGAGCACGGGCGTTGCCCGATCAACGCCCTGAAGCTGAGAGTGTGCGCTAATGTGCTCAACAGGCTGGTCGATGTGAAGATCGGGCATGGCCCCGATGATTGCTGCTCGCTGCTGTCTGGAATCGCCGATCTCGATGCCGCCGTCTGCCTCTGCACTGCCGTGAAGGCCAACGTCCTTGGCATTAGGGTCAACCTTCCCGTCGATCTCAGCCTAATCCTCAACAAGTGTGGCAAGTCCTGCCCGTCTGACTTCACCTGCTGAGCTGCACATTTATAATGCTCATGAGTTTATTTTGGTGTGATTGTTGGGTGTCGAGGTTTGTTTGCATGATCCCTCGTGAATAAGTCTCCTTTTTGTTTCAGATTGATGTGCGGTTGTATCATCCTTAAATCACTTTAATTTGATTGTTGTAAGTTGATCTTTTTGTTGAGAGAATGCAAATCTTCAAAACCCATTGCATTATCTATATAGATATATTGTTATGCGGAAGATATTTTAATGGTTTACATTTTCGCTTTCTCTCATCCATGAGCCAAAAAAATAGACCAATCCATATATCTGTATCTAAGATGATCATGTCCTCAAACTGTGTCACGCACACCAATATAGACCTTGCATCAGAGTTTCAGGGCGTTGATCTGGCTTCAGGGCGTTGCCCGGTTATATAAAATTCGACCGGTTACTGAAGCTAGCCCGTAGAAGAAGATGGTTCCGGGAATAGGTGACTTGCCCGGTGTAGTTAGCTATGTTGTAGACTGTAGAACACATGGTTGTTCCTGAGTAGACTAAGGTTGCGTTCCGAGATGGAAATTGAGAACTCCACCAACCCGCACGCAAAATAAAGTGATCCATTAGTGTATGATTAATTAAGAATTAACCAAAATAATCTTGAAAATAGATTAATATGGTATTTTTAAAGCAAGTTTCTTATAGAACATTTTTGCCAAAAAAAAGTATCATTTTTGCAAAATAATATGGTATTTGCATGAAAACCAAGGAGTGGAGGTTAGAAACGTCTGATGCCAAACATAGACTAAGAGTAGGCCCCATCTTACAAGAAAGCCTCAAATTAGGTCTTATGCAGCCAGTCCATCAGTTCTGCGCACCCACGAGAAGACCACCAAGTCACCATCCCCGAGCAGCCCTATGCCACAACCTAAGTTTTCTGGTGTCTCGGCTTCATCATGATTACGTAAGTACATACAATGAAAGGGTACACACGCGAGATTACAAGTCAACCTTTTCCGGAGAGGGATGCACTGACGCAGTGAATGTGTAGGCAAATTTGTTGCAGGACATGTAAAAAGCATATAATTAGCTGAGGGACACCGTAAGACCACACATCTGCCGTAGGGCACCACAAAAAACTCATAATTAGCTGCTGGTCTCTCATGACATTATTTTATTATTTTCAGAGAAAATAGAGAGAAACATAGATTAAAGAGAAGTTTGCACATGGCTCAACTAAATGTATGTGAAGCACGGATACGTCACAAACCTCACGTATCAGTATCAGATACGTACTTCGATAAAGACACATATTAGATACACTCCGATACATATCCCTTTTTTTCATAATTTCAAAATAATACAAAAAAATCGTCATCGGGACGTAGATTCCTAGCACCACCGCCAGACACAATGCCTCAGGTTCGTTGTCGTCGCGAACCGTCAGTGCCGTCGGACATGGCGACCCCATCTCTGACGGACACGGCACGCCAGTATCTGCACCTCCATAGGACACAGCATCGCCGCCACCGCCGCCAGACGAAATGGCTCTAGGCCCGCGGTCGTCGGGAACCGTCGGCGCCATTGCCGAACATGGCGACTCCATTTCCAACAGATGCAGCACGCCGGTATCTCGACCTCCACGGGGCGCAACAACGCCGCCGCTGGACATTGCAACAACTCCATCTTCGCCATGCTGGCTGTCGGTCGATCTCCGTCACCGGAGCCTTGCCGGCAAAACCCTCGCGCCACCAGCTTTGCCTCGTCGAGGTGACTCTATTCCCCTAGTTTCCTCTTTCCTTTAGCCACCATATCAAGCTGCCACCGTCACCTCCCTTGCCAGCTAGAGCTGAGGTTTTCCCTTCGTTGTTCTGGCCTCCTCTCAAAGTCCCTCTACTTGCCACCACTTTCCTCGGATGCAAAGAAAAAATGAACACGTTCAATCGCTGACGTTGCCGTCTCCTGATCATCGGAGCACCAGCGCCCTCCTCTTGTTTCATGGAAGAAGAAAAAAGAATGAGTAGAGAAGGAGAGAGAATAGGAAAAAAATATTCCCTGACAGGTGGATCCTAGCATGGGAGTGAGGCTCGATTGGGTTCATGGGGTAAAACTATACTTTCATAGTTGTTTCTTTCTCCAATTCCTCTGAATATAATAAAATAGTCCCATGGGTGTCTAACAGCTAATTACCACCTTTTTACAGTATACTATAGCATAAACGCGTTTTTGCGGTGTCCCTAGTTAATTACACTTTTTTGGATGTCCTGTAACAAATTTTGCGGACTATATATATAGAGGGATGTTATGCCTTCGCAACGATACAAACTGATTAAGTAGAATACCTTGACTAGGATGCTGATATTATTTTTTAGGTGATATTATAATGTAATTTCTATTCATAGAAAAGCATGGGTACTCAGCTAGCTTGCTAGTATCGTGTAAATTGTACAACTGGACATGATTGTTTGATTGGTGCTGTGCATGACTGCATAGCTCTATTCATCGAAATTAAGAATTCAACTTGCATATCTCTCGCCAACTACTGGCCCATGCTTGCATGCAAATCCATCCATGAAAACCAAGCAATTATCACCCATGCATCATGCACGCAACTATCTATACCAAGCAAGCGTACTATAGTTCAGCTATAAATAGCAGATGACACCCCAAGCAAAAATCAACCCAAAGCGACACGAGCTAGATAGCAGCCAAGAACACTTATTCACTGAGTAACACTAGCTCATTCGATCCCAGACACCAATGGCTTCCAAGGTCATCGCTCCCTTCCTTGCCCTTAGCCTCCTCCTCTTCGCCGTCATTGTGCAGGGTTGCACACCCAACTGCTCCGGCGAGCAGGTCGTCCCGACTCCACCCATTGCAGTCCCGACGCCATCACACCATGGTGGGCACGGTGAGCACGGCCGTTGCCCGATCAACACCTTGAAGCTGAGAGTGTGCGCCAACGTGCTAAACGGGCTGGTCGATGCGAAGATCGGACATGGCACCGACGATTGCTGCTCGCTGCTATCTGGGATCGCCGATCTCGACGCTGCCGTCTGCCTCTGCACGGCCGTTAAAGCGAATGTGCTTGGCATTAGGGTGAACCTCCCCGTCGATCTCAGCATCATGCTCAACAAGTGCGGCAAGACCTGCCCGTCCGATTTCACTTGCTGAGCTGAGCTGCATGATTATAATGTTCTGGAGTTTAATTTCGTGTGATTTTTGGTTGTCGATTGAGCCTTTTTTTCATGATTCCGCGTGAATAAGTCTTGTTTCTTTTGGCAAATTGATGTGCGGATCTATCATCCATTAAATTACTTTAATTCAATTGTTGTAAGTTGATTTTTTTTTGAGATTGTAATATGTAAAACCCATTATATATATTGTTATCTGGAGATAATTGTGGCTTATATGTTTGCTATGTCACCCACGAAAGCATGAAAATAGATCTGTATTTGATATGATGATGTCCTCAAATTGTGTCACGTATACCAATATGGACCTTGCACCTAAGCAATGGCGACGCTGAAATTCTTGAAATGTAATATGACCGATTGAATTTAGTCAAAATGGCCCACAGTACATGGGCCAAACTATGTACTCTCGTTTAGGCCAAACTATGCAATCCCGTTGGTTGGATTGCCATTCCAGCCCAGCGTGAAGGGGTTACTAAAACTTAGCCCTGAGAATAAGATGGTCCACACTGCATTGCAACCACTAGATCTACTATAAGATCATCCTTTCCTTTATAACCAAACAAACAACAAGGCACATAATCATAAGATTATATTATATTGTATACACCGACTAATTTATCGGTGTATTTTAGAAATTCAGATCCGAAATTGCAAACTCTGCTCCAATGTGTTCTGCAGTGTGATTCAATTATCTAGATAATTAATTAGCGGAATGAATGTACATTTGTAGGCTAGTTATTTCAAGCATTTAAATTTTGTCTTCAAATATATTCTATTTAGAATATTAAGAGGTATTTGCAGTGATAAAATGTACAAGATATCTCCCCATGTCGACAACCCCACCCAGGTGTCAGCAAGAGGATAATGAAAGGTAATCTAGATTTTCCCCTCCCCTGAATTTTCATGAAAGAAATTACTGAAGTATTTATATATCTTGGAACAGAGGGAGCATGCATGTACTTAATTTTCTTTATCTAATGTTATATGATGTGTGTCAACTCAACTATGGTAGTTAATAAATATAGAAAAATACATGCCGGTCCTTAAACTTGAGAGGTGGTGTCACTTAGGTCCGTAAACTTAAAAATTGCATATTTAGGTCCACGATCTTGGTTTAATGTATTACAGCAGGTCCAAACGACATTTGACTGTGTCTGACTGCTAAGGTCATTCCCAACCCAATAACTAGGATGGTGTCCATAGCATTAAATAAGTTGCCACCTAGGACAAAAAATGATGTTGCAAGTGAATAAATGAGGAAAGAGAAGGAAACCATGTCTTGCATGAGACATGGTTTCTACACAACATCCAAGACATAGCATTAAATTGAAGTATGGAATAGTGGTGTTTGTATTGGAAGAGTAGTGTTTAGTACTAGTTTCTTGATGATGTGGAGTTTATGGAAATCATGTCTAGTGTTATGAGTTGGGACTGTCCTAACGTGGCGCTTCATGTAGACACCAAATTTACATCCGGCCCCCTCCACAACACAGAGTGGCAGTAAACTTACACTTAGACCCTTCGAAGTACATCGTTGTAATATAAGCAAGCGGATGGCCTCATGGTGAAGACGAATAACTGATGGAGCTGGCCGGCGCGATTGTCTAACACAACAAGCGGCTTGGAATGGTGGAGGTTCGCTTCCTCCTCCGCCTCATCTCCGGCGTAGGCCTCGGCTGCTGGACCTACGAGCTGCGGAGCTTCGTCGACGGTCACGAAGAGCTCGCTGCACAGCGGGACGCGGTCGATGAGATGGACGCTTTCTACGACAGCGCCATCCGGGAGCTCCTCGGTAGGACTGGGTTCTACCCCATTGCCAACGTGCTCATCATCAACATTATCAGCTAGCTTCTTCCTGGAGCCATGCCTCTCGTCCATGTTGGGAATAGTCCCACATCCCTAATCTAGAGGGAGTTGAACCAACTTAAAAGTAGAGGGAGCTCCTCACCTCTTGAGCTAGCTTTTAGGATGTAGCAAGGCTTTCTCCCGGTTGGGCCAACGTCTTCCGGTTTGGGGCTAACAAGTGGTATCAGGGCCAATCCAACAATCTCTAGTGCTTGTGCACACTCAAGGCGGTGTAAGCCCAAAGCCCAGTGGACCGCGGGTGTGAGGCCCGTATGTGCCCGTGTGTGGGGCTGGTCAGTGGACCGCGGGTGTGAGGCCTGTATGTGCCTGTGTGTTGGACCGGTCAGGGCTAAGGGGTACCAATGTTGTGACGGGGGAGATTGTTGGGAATAGTCCCACATCCCGGGTGTGAGGCCTGTATGTGCCTGTGTGTTGGACCGGTCAGGGCTAAGGGGTACCAATGTTGTGACGGGGGAGATTGTTGGGAATAGTCCCACATCCCTAATCTAGGGGGAGTTGAACCAACTTTATGTTGTGACGGGGGAGATTGTTGGGAATAGTCCTACATCTCTAATCTAGGGGGAGTTGAACCAACTTAAAGGTGGGGGGAGCCCCTCACCTCTTGAGCTAACTTTTGGGGTGTAGCAAGGCTTTCTCCCCGTTGAGCCAACCCCCACCTCTTGAGCTAACTTTTGGGGTGTAGCAAGGCTTTCTCCCTGTTGAGCCAACGTTTTCCGGTTTTGGGCTAACACTCCAGGACTGTGTGAGGTGGTACCGCATGCGCGAGGACGTCACGGCGTCAAACCTCTCCGGGATGGGGTTGCAGCGCCAGGCTGGTCCCGTTGGACATCGCCCAAAGGCCAAAATGCCATGTGTGCGCGGTTGCTGCGACCGGTGGTAGCGCTCGTAGTCTCGACGGAGTCACTGGCGCCGCACTAGCACGCCGGCAAGGAGAGGACTATGATGTTGTTGCAGTGCCTATTCCGATGCGGCAGCACGGCCGTGCTGCTCAGCAGCGACGATCACCGTTGTCGCGCCAAGATGGAACTCCGTCGCCTGGTGCGCGCCACCACCGCGGCACTGGCAAGCGACGATGCTTACTCCTGCATCTGCAGCAAGAGGATGACGACGGACTCCTCGGTGCCAGCATCAACAAGGCCCTCTCCAAGACCGCCCTTCGCGCATTCGCTGCCAACCTGCAGCGTCTTCTGCACTTGCATACACATGTTGAATGGCCTAAGTGAAAGTTTACCACTATTTTGTGTTGCGGAGGGGGTGGATGTAAATTTGGTGTCTACGTGGAGTGCCACGTTGGCGGTCAGATACAGTCAAATGTCATTTGGACCTGTTGTGATACATTAAACCAAGATCGTGGACATAAATATGTAATTTTTCAAGTTTATTTACCTAAGTGACATTAGCTCTCAAGTTTAAGGACCGACCATATACTTTACTCTAACTAGCATGGTGGCCCGCGCAGATTGTGCGGCTAGTATCATTATATTTTCTATCATATAATAGCATATATGTTCTTATTATATTATTCAAATATATTAAAATGACAACATAATTTTAAATTTTGCAATAACTTTACAAAACTACTAATGTGTAATATTCATATTGTATTTTATATACGTGTTAGTTATTAATTATTTTTAATATCAAATTTTAGTTATTTGTAAATTATATATATTCCTATATGGACTGTAGACTCGTCTTTTAATATTTCTTTTTTTTTAATTTCGAATTTTCTATAAATTGTATTTCTATATAGACTCTATACTCTTCTTCCAACATTATTTATTTTTATTTCTGAATTTTTATTATTTCTAATTGTATTTCTATGTGAACTCTAAACTCATATTTCAATATTCTTTAATTTTTAATTTCGAATTTCCTATATTGACTTTAAATTCTTCTTCCCATGTTTTTCTTAATTTCAAATTTTAGTTATTTGTAAATTGTATTTTTATACGGGCTCTAAACTCTAATTTTAATTTTATTATATTTATTTCAAATTTTAGTTAGTTTTAAATTCCTATATGGACTTTATACTCTACTTCTAATGTTCCTTATTTTTAATTCTGAATTTCAGTTATTTCCTAATTGTATTTCTATATGGACTCTATACTCTACTTCTAATTCTAATGTTCCTTATTTTTAATTCTGAATTTCAGTTATTTCCTAATTGTATTTCTATATGGACTCTATACTCTACTTCTAATGTTCCTTATTTTTAATTCTGAATTTTAGTTATTTCCTAATTGTATTTATATATGGACTCCATACTCTGCTTCTAATATTCCTTATTTTTATTTTCAAATTTCAGTTATTTCCTAATTGTATTTTTATATGGACTCCATGCTCCTCTTCTAATATTCCCTATTATTTAATTCCGAATTTCAGTTATTTCTAAATTGTATTTCCATATGAACTCTGCATTTTCTTTTTCTCCGATTAATGTGAGAATTTCTAGGCCATGAGAGCGAACGTGGAGGCTCACTCTAAACTTATCTTTCAATATTATTTATTTTTAATTTCGAATTTCAGTTACTTCTAAATTGTATTCCTATATTGACTTTAAACTCTTTTAATAATATAATAGCTACTTCTAGTATTCCTTACTTTTAATTCCGAATTTCTATTATTTTCTAATTTTATTTCTATATGGACTCTATACTCTACTTCTAATAATCCTTATTTTTAATTCCAAATTTCAGCTATTTCCTAATTGTATTTCTATATGTACTCTATACTCTACTTCTAATATTCCTTATTTTTAATTCCGAATTTCAGCTATTTCCTAATTGTATTTCTATATGGAGTCTATCCTCTACTTCTAATATTCCTTATTTTTAATTCCGAATTTCAGCTATTTCCTAATTATATTTCTATATGTACTCTTGTCTCGTCTTCTAATATTCCTTATTTTTTAATTTCGAATTTCAGTTATTTCTAAATTGTATTTCTATATGGACTCTAGTCTCCTCTTCTAATATTCCTTATTTTTTAATTCCGAATTTCAGCTATTTTTAAATTGTATTTCTATATGGACTCTGTCTTTTCTTTTTCTCCGATTAATGTGAGAATTTCTAGGCCATGAGAGCGAACATAAAGGCTCCTTTTTCTATTCGTTTAATAATATAATAGATAAATATAAGGTGCTTGATCTACGACTTAGCTGAATTTAATTACTTTGGGCCAATCAATTAAGCTTTTTTTTTCCAAGAATTGAATTAACTTCGGGAAGGAAGAGGTTAGGAACTTCTCCCAGCACATGTCAAACGGGGTGACTAATTATGTATTAATTAACTAAAATAAATTTTAAAACTAGATTAATATAATTTTTTAAAACAACTTTATTTGCTATCGAAATGTTTTGAAAAAAACACATCGTGCTTACGAACATATATACCAACCGGAATAAACATATATACATAGACAGCAAAGAAAACCGAACTCTTTGTTGAAAAAGACAATAATAGTCGATCGATGGAGCGATTGATATTGCGTAAAATGAACTACCGGACTTGATTGTTGGCTTGCTGCTCTGCACGTACGAATGCATGGCGGCTAAAATTAATTAATCAATTTAGCAACTAGCTATATATGTGCCTATGTCCTCCATGGAAAAATCGTATCGTACTTGTCGCAAGCAACTAGCCCATTCCGCAGCAAATCCAAATCTTCCATCCGGGGACAAACCAGTGCGTGCAGATACATCGTGCATGCATGCAACTAGCAGCCACTAACACAAACCTGTCTATTTGTAACGGCTCAAGTATCATCTGTAACAGCTCGCCCATCCGTAACAAACAAAAGATACGGATGAAGAAACCATCTTTTATCCCGATTAACAAAAGATCACGGGTGAAGAAACCATCTTTTATCCCGATTTGTAACCTCATATAGTTCCAGGATGCAAACCGGGATCAAGCATCCGGAACTAAAGATGACGATCTTTAATCCCAGTTAAAATACACTGGTGGAGAAACTATTTGTAGTCCCGGTTCGTAACCCCCTTTAATCCCAGTTGTCCAATCGGGACTACGAATCCGGGACTAAATATAGCTATCTTTAGTCCCGAGTAAAATAACCAGGACTAAAGATCGGTGTACCATTTTTTTTATTTGCATGGCGCTGTTTTCTGCATGGTATATATATCTATATGTATATACATATATATATCTACATGTATGTATATATATGTATGTATATACATATATATATATATGTATGTGTATATATATATATATATATATGTGCATATGTGTATATGTATAAATACATATATTACACACATATGTATAATTTAAAGTACTTAACATTTTATGTGCATATATGTTACCAAAATATATATTAACACTAAAGTAAATGTGTACATATATAAATATATATATACATGCATATATAGTACAATTCATTTGCTTGCTAGCTATAGCTACGATTTCGACGCCGGTGTTATGTCAGAAGAGGAAGGACCGACGTTATGGATTGTCGATCCGTCATAGTAGAATTCACCATCAGGATTGAGGACTTCTTCGTTGATGAATCCCATCAGTTGTTCTTGAACAGCCGTGATAAAATCCTTGTGTGGGAGATTATCCCTCATGTGAATACGCTATCATTCGAAAAATAATGACATATCAATATATGAAATTAATAAACAACTTAACAAATCGATACGCAATGAAATTTTGAATGGTTTATGTATACGTACATCAAGCTCTCGTGTGGTGCATATTTGGTTTGATAGGTAGTGGGCATACTCGCATACGTTGTAGCCGCATAAGTAAGTTCCCTGGTCCTGCTTTGCACACTACATGAGAAACGATGAGAGATTTAATATACTCTTTATATTAACTGTAATTAGAGATTCAATATAATATAATTTTGTATCATGCATGTACTCACTGGAAAATGAAACCTCCGTCCAATTTTTTCTTTCCAAGTCCCGCGGACCAATTGACGGAACCGATCCCAAGCCCTACATATGCAGTTGTAAGCTATGATTAATTAATTATTACCCGAGATCAACATAATAGCAATAGAATCCCCGCGACTTTGGAATAGATGGCATTATATTACCTGTCTATCAGTTGGAAGACCTTGTCAAAAATCTTCTCCTCTTTATTCATTGAGTCGTACACAGTGACTCTGCATGCGTGAGATGAGATATATATGAAAATATACATGCTATATGTATGGGAACGAAATTTGTTCGAACGACAATAAATACTCACTCTGCTGCGTTAGGAGATGGATGAGATTGTCCTCTGTGTCTTTCTCGTACTTGTCGATCATTTCGGTGTTGATTTTCCGAGGGTCGATGAACCCAGTATCGTAAAACCCCCGCCATCGGGCCCTGTGAATCTCCATTCTACAATGATAAAATGAAATTATTATTGTTTACATATATGCAAGGAGCTAGTTATTGTACGAAACAAATCGAACTCAAAGATACTTACAAAATCCATGCGCTCAGAAGAGAGACGTCAAGGGCGTCCAGATGGTACAGATCGAAGACATCCTTGAAATGGATCCAGAGAACATCTTCTCCTTGCAAGAAGTCGGGGTTTCTGATCCTCGCTCCGAACATCTCTTTACCCTTGGCGTTCATTTCCATGTACCATTCATGGAATTTGTACATCTGTGTCGGTAGGGACTGCAGCTGCTCAGGCGTGACAAGCGGTTTACCGAGTTCAAACTTGTATGCCACTTCCGCCTTCGGGATTGGTGCGATTCCCAATCAGCTGATCCATAGTTAGACCGGTGTCTGAAATGAAATCCGTTATGCCAAAATCTTCACCTGTCACCAAGGGCTCGACCTCTTGGTTTGGTTGTTCTCCAAGCTGAGGGACTGGTTTGGACTTCTTGTGATAGGCTTTCTGAAGTGTTCGGTCATAGTCCGATAGCTTTAAGGCCTCCTTGTTTGTTGTGGACATTCCCTTGAAGAAGTTTTTCACGCTCGGGTCAATAGTTATCTTCTTTTCAGGACTCCGAGGCTTGAGTTGCCTCTTTACTTCTCCTGCCACATAAGCATCAAGCTCCTCTTGACTGCAATCGTACGGCGGCTCCCTGTTTTTGGTGGCGTCAACTTTCGCCTTCTTCGTTGCCCTTGTGCGGGCATGCGGTGGAGCTTAGCGAGACCTTGTCTTGGGAGGTGCAGGCGGACACGGTGGAGATGGAGGAGGCGGAGGAGCCAGAGGAGATGGTGCAGGAGGAGCTGGCGGAGGAGCCGGAGGAGATGGTGCAGGAGGAGCTGGCGGAGGAACCGGAGGAGATGGTGCAGGAGGAGATGGCGGAGCCGGAGGAGATTGTGCATGAGACGCCGCTTGTCGCCAAGGGAGGATGATGTACTGCTTGCGCCATAGTATAATGGCGTGGCTTGTGTCTCGTAGATGCGTCTCACCGTCTCCTCCTGGGTAGTCCAACTCGAGATCCTCGTACGCGGCTTCCACCAGCTCAACCTCGACCCTCGAGTATCCTGCTGGAATCGACCTGCAGTGGTAAGTCCCTGAAATGTCCGTTGGGATGGCTATTTCCGACGCCACCTTCACGTGATGAGAGGTTATCTATTAGTAATCAACCTAAGCAGAACCTTGCGGAATGTACAAGTCAAAAATCATAAAACTACGAGCATACCTTGATTGATAAGTTCTTGAAGGGAATATGCAGCTCACATGGTGTCCGCTGAGTGATGTCATCAACGGGGCAAGTGGTTTCATCCTGGGTTTGCATGGCGTCCATGCTCTGTGATCCTACCTGCCCCGTTGAGGCGCAACTGCTACGATTGCCTGATGGGCTAACCATTGCAGGAGGAATGTACGGCTGGGGATTCTGGGACCGATGTGCGGCCATGCATTCATCCACCTTCCTTGCCACCTCCTCTTGCATGCTGAGCTCGTAGCTCGATACCCTGTACTCAAGATTTGCAATCTTCGCCTCGATATCTCTCTTACTCCTCATCCAACTCCTGTACGTGTGGATGTCCTCCTTGAATCTAATCTTCCAGGGAATCACGCCTTTCCCTCGTGTTCGTCCTGGATGCTCGGGAGTCTGTAGGGCGAGTGACAGCTCGTCCTTCTCTCTGTCGTGTCGGAATGTGCCCTGAGAAGAGGCTTCCACTGCGTCCGTTAGTTGACTGGTAGCCTCGCATATCAGATCGCTAAAGACAAGGGAGCCATCAACTGGGTTAAGCGTTCCACCGTGAGCATAGTACCAGAACATCGATCGATTCGGCCATTTAGCGGTGGCCGGTTCGATACTCCTCTCAATCAATCTTGCCTCCATCTCCTCCCACTTCGGCATTGCGACGCTATAGCCGCCTGACCCTAAGTGGTGATGGTACTTCTTCTTGGCGGCATTTTCTTTGTTTCTAACCATCATCGGTTGCCCTTGTTACTCTGTCTTGTAAGCAACGAACTCGTCCCAATGATCCCTTAGCTTTGGGAATACGTCGAAGTTCGGTGTTAGTCCCTTCAGGATGTATTTCTTGTAGAGATATCCCTTGAAGCTCTGGAACTATTCTGCCATTTTCTTAAGAGTCCACTGTTTCACTATGTTCTCCGTACCCGCAGGGAGCGTGAACGTCTCGAGCATTGTGGTCCACATCATCTCTTTCTCTGATTCCGGGACAAAGCTGTCATTATCCCCGCGTGCCCTTGTTCTACGCCAGTACACCATGCTGACAGGCACGTTATCCCTCACAACCCAACCGCTGTGGCGTACAAAATTCTTGGCTGCTTCTGCCGGGGCACTAGGTCAACCGTCTTCGTCCACCTCAGTTATGATGTGCCGACCCTCTATCTTCTTCACGGCACCTCGTTGTCCGCGTGCCCTCTTCTGTCCAGCGGAGGGATGACTTCCACTAGCCTCCTCCTCCTCATTCCCCTCCGCATCCCTCTCCCCGTTCCCCTCCTCATTCAAGTACTGGTTTGGAACCTCGTTCCCCTCTTCTTCGATCCAATACTGGCTGCTTCCCTCTGCGATTATATCATATAGTATCTGTTCCTCATTGCGATCAGCCATCTGTTCGTACAAGAAATATTTGCTAAGTCTATAGGTCATATTTGCTAAGCGTAATATTAAAACTCTACTAATCTTATATTAAATCTCTAATAATCTTATATTAAAATTGTAATAATCATATATGCTAAGTCTAACAATCTTATATTAAATCTCTACTAAACTTATATTAAAATTGTAATAATCATATATGCTAAGTCTAACAATCTTATATTAAATCTCTACTAATCTTATATTAAAATTGTAATAATCTATATGCTAAGTCTAACAATCTTATACTAAATCTTTACTAATCTTATATTAAAATTGTAATAATCATATATGCTAAGTCTAACAATCTTATATTAAATCTCTATTAATCTTATATTAAAATTGTAATAATCATATGTGCTAAGTCTAACAATCTTATATTAAATCTCTACTAATCTTATATTAAAATTGTAATAATCATATATGCTAAGTCTAACAATCTTATATTAAATCTCTACTAATCTTATATTAAAATTGTAATAATCATATATGCTAAGTCTAACAATCTTATATTAAATCTCTAATACAATATGATAAGTCTAATAATCTAATAATCTCTAATACTCACATTTGCTAAGTCTAATAATCTAATAATCTCTGACACTCACATTTGCTAAGTCTAATACAATATGCTAAGTCTATCACGAATCTCTAACATTCACATATGCTAAGTCTAATAATCTAACACTCACATATGCTAATAATCTAATAATCTTATATTAAAACTCTAATAATCTTATATTAAATCTCTAACAATCACTTATTTACATCACTTGCCTGCGCGAATTCCTTCGATGGCTAGCTACCACTTCGGCTTGAGGGACGACGACGACGTCTTTTCTATAACATTACTAGGAAAATGTATTAGTCTAAACGCAAAGGAACATATATCGTATTTCACGTTTTCAACTATATATATAATCGTATATATATATATATATATGCTAGGTTTAATAATCGTTTAATTATCTCGTTCGTACACGTTTCGCTCCCGTTCGTTCTCACATTTTTAGTACAAGTGCATTCACGTTCGTTCGTGTTTCGTTCACGTTCATTCGCGTTCGTTAACGTTTCGTTCACGTTCGTTAAGCGTTCATTCACGTTCGTTCACGTTTCGTTCACGTTCGTTCACGTTCGTTCACGTTACGTTCATGTTTCAATCACGTTCGTTCACGTTCGGCAATGTCGGGGCGCGCAGCAGTGGCGGCAGCGGAGCGCTGGCGTGGCGGCGCGGCGGCGGCGTTTCGTGGCGGCGTCGGGGCGTCTCGGCGGCGTGGCGTGGTCCGGCGGCGTGGGGCGGCCCGGCGGCGTGTGGGCGCGGCGGCGGCGTCGTGTCGCGGCAGCGTGGCGAGCTCGAGGCGGGGGCGTCGGCGACGTCGCCGTGGCGGCCGCATGGACGTTACGTCGTCGGCGGTGGTGGCCGCGTCGAAGTCGGAGTCGGCATCTGCAGGAGGCGTAGTCGGGGTCGGGGTCAGCCGCGAGCGTCGACGTTGGCGGCAGCATCGGCAACGAGCTAGGCGGCGGCAGTTTGGAGAGAGAGAGAGAGAAAGAGAGATCGAGAGAGAGAGAGAGAGGCAGTGGCGGCTCTCACCCAAGAGATGTGGCGGCGGCTTCAGCGGCGGAGGCGGCGAGGACCGCAAGACGACGGCGAGAGACGACGGCGGCGTCGGCGTGGGGTTGCCCTAGGCAGTGGCGGCGAAGGAGAAGCTGAGATCGATTAGAGGAAAAACTTCTAAGTGTTGGTGGAGAAGACGAGGGCGCACCGGGAATATATATACCCCTAGATCTTTAGTCCCGGTTGGTGAGAACATCCGGGACTAAAGATATTTTCCCGCTATTTCCAAATTCTTTTTAAACCCGATTAGGGTTAAGAACCGGGACTAAAGATAATAGCACTGAATTTTGAATTTCATTA